AAAGCTGAAGCCCTTATGCTGGCCTCTATAACATTGCTACTTTTCAGTCTGCTAAAGAAGCAATTTTGTTTTCTTTTAATTTCTAGTTTGAAGTAGATCAATACTTTACAAAAGTATAAAAATGAGTTACTACAGAGGCACCTGAGTGGCTCAGTTGGTTAAGCGACCAACTCTTGATTTCGGCTCAGGTCATGATCTCAGCGTCATGAGATTGAACCCTTCCAACCCCACCACCCTGCGTGGGCTCCACGCTCAGCACCAACTCTGCTGTCCCTCTCCCTCCGCCTCTCCCACACCCCTGCTTGCACTAACACACACTTGCGCACACACTCTCTCTCTCAAATAAATAAATAAAATCTTTTTTAAAGTGAGTTACTACAGAGAGAAATTCCTCTGGTCATGATGAAGTAACTGATGTCATATTAGTTCTCCCACTATAAACTTCTAGAAAACTATTCTAACTAAAGCAACTGTTTTCAGAAATTAGTAAGTAGGGCAGGACTGTTTTCTGAGGGAAAGGAAATAGATGAGGAGAGCCCTGTGATTGCCCAGGCTTTCTACTGGGAGGTATTTACTAAAGTCTAGTGCTGGAGACAAAGCAGGGTAAGTGCTATTTGCTGAGAATAAGGAGAGAGAGATTGGAGTTTGGGGAGGCTGGAATTTGCCAAGAGGAATACCAGAGGGGAGGAAGCATGCAGAGAAAGAGCTCCCTAAACCTGCATACAGGTCCCTTCCATCTTTGGCTGAAAACTAAGCTGTGTTTGCATAGAATGAGATTTCATAAGACCACCAAAGAACAACTACCTGGGAGAGAACAGGTCCCAGGGATTTGAAAGTGGAACAGCTACTCAAGCCCAGCCTGTTTTGGGGTTCCAACCAACCAGAGTAGAGACATCATCCAACACTGGGGACATTCAATAAAGACCCCAGGAAGGCCATACTTTAGGAGCAGGGTGAAAATAGCCCTAGATAAAAGTTACTCTAGGTCTGCACTAATGAAACTTTAACACAGGCCACAAAAGGACCAGCCTGTCCAAAAGTAAGTTAACTACCAGATTCTTTAGAAGAAGACAACAAAATCCAGACATTCAACAACATAATCCTCATAATTTCCATCATCCAGTGAAAATTTAGAGGACATAGGAAGCAACTGGAAAGTATGTTCTGTGACCAGAATAAAATTAGTCAGTATAAACAGATCCAGAAATAACAGGCATGATGCAATGAACAGAGATGGACTTTAAAACAGCCACAATAGGGGCACCAGGGTGCTCAGTCAGTTAAGTGTCTGCTTTTGTCTCAGGTCATGATCTCCAGGTCCTGGAATTGACTCAGCAGGGAGTCTGCTTCTCTCTCTCTCCCTATGCCTGGCCTCCCTGCTCATTCTCTCTCTCTCTCAAATAAATAAAAATCTTTTTGTTTTGTTTTTTATTTTATTATGTTACATTAGTCACTATATAATACATCATTAGTTTTTGATGTAGTGATCCATGATTCATCATTCTTGTATGACACCCAGTGCTCCATGCAGTACGTGCCCTCCTTAATGCCCATCGCCTGGCTAACCCATCCCCCCACCCCCCTCCCCTCTAAAACCCTCAATTTGTTTCCTGGAGTCCATAGTCTCTCATGGTTCATCTTCCCCTCTGATTCCCCCCCTTCATTTTCCCCTTCCTTCTAATGTCCTCCATGCTATTCCTTATGTTCCACAAATAAGTGAAACCATATGATAATTGACTTTCTCTGCTTGACTTATTTCACATAGCATAATCTCCAGTCCCATCCGTGTTGATGTAAAAGTTGGGTATTCATCTTTTCTGATGGCTGAGTAATATTCCATTGTATATATGGACCACATCTTTATCCATTCATCTGTTGAAGGGCATCTCGGTTCTTTCCACAGTTTGGCTACCGCAATAACCAAACTGAGCAATAGTCAAATAAGTAAAAATCTTTTTTTTAATTTTTTTTAAATTTTTTTTTAAAGATTTTATTTATTTATTGGAGAGAGAGAGTGAGAGAGAGCATGAGAGGGGAAAGGGTCAGAGGGAGAAGCAGACTCTCCACCAAGCGGGGAGCCTGACATGGGACTCGATCCTGGGACTCCATGACCTGAGCTGAAGGCAGTCACTTAACCAACTGAGCCACCCAGGCGCCCATAAATAAAAATCTTAAAAAAAAAAAAAAAAAAACCAGCCACACCAAATACCAAAAATGTAAAGGAAAATATTAGCATAATGAGGAAAAAAATGGAAATAAAAAAGAACCAACTATAAACATAACTGGAGGTTTCTGCATATATATTCTACTTCAATGACAAAAAGTTTTAAATTAAAAAATAGAACTTCTGGAGTTGAAAGAGATAATACCCAAAATGAAAAAGTCAGTGGATGGACTTAACAGTATATCAGAAATGACAGAAGAAAAAGTCCACTGAACTTAAAGACATAGCGATACAAACTATCCAAAATGCAATACTGGAAAATGAACAGAGCCTCCAAGACTTATGGGACAATGGCAAACAGCCTAACAGAGGGAGGAGAGAAAAATTATTTCAGGAAATATTTTTTCTCAAATTTCCAAATAAATTTTTACAAATTTGATGAAAACTATAAACCCATAGCTACAAGAAGCTCAACAAACTATAATCAGGATAAACAGAAAACCATACCAAGGCACATCACAATCAAATTGCTGAAAACCAGTGATGAAGAAAAAGTATTAAAAGCAGCTAGAGGAAAAAATGTTATATACAGGGGGAAAAAGATAAGATTTTTGAAGTGATTTCTCATTAAAAACAATGCACTTGGGGTGCCTGGGTGGCTCAGTCTGGTAAGCATCTGCCTTCACTGAGGTCATGATCCCAGGGTCCCTGCTCAGTGGGGAGTCTGCTTCTCCCTCTGCCTGCCACTCCCCCTGCTTGTGCTTGTGCTCTCTCTCTCAAATAAATAATAAAATCTTTTTAAAAAAATGCATGCTAGCAGAAAATTGAATGGCATTTGAAAGTAGTGAGAGAACCTGTTTTTACTCCTTCTAAAATATATAGATTTCCTAGCTTTATCCACTGAAAAGTTCTAGAAGCAGTGATCGTCCAGGAACAAGGAGCACCCTAGAACCCTAACTGTGGTCTCTAAACATTCTTTCCTAGTAAAGGGAACCTGCAATCCTTGAAGGAATAGTTGATTCCAAGTGTGGGGCAGGACACACACAAGATAGGACTGGGGCATCTTACCAACCAAGTGGGTCATCTGTGCCAACCAAGGAAGCTAATGATATCTAATGGATATATTAGATTAACACAGGAGCCTACTTATAGGAGCTCCCACTGGCCAAAGATAGGACAATTTGAACATCAAAATGATGATTGTAATGGATTGAAGTAATCAGATACATAAAAATCTATGAGTCCCTAATGATACTAAAAAAGAAAACTCCTTGGTAACCATTGGAGGTTGCTAGGGCACTAATTCATTGTTCTGAAATTTGTTAAATAGTAAGAAATGCCAAACATTTGTTTTACCTTTTCTGAATGATCGGTATTTCAAGATAAACAAATAGAGAAACTAATAAATGCAGAAAAGATGATAAAATTGGAAACTGGATCTTGAATCTAGGCAAATCATTAGTAAATGCTAAAGCCATTAGGTGAAAAGTTGATGGGGGACTTTATAATGGAGAGATGTAACCAATAACATCTGAATCCACTGATTAATATTTATATTCCATTGTGTGCCCCCTATTTGATTTTTAAGTGCACCATATTACCTACAACAGATTCTAGCCCCTTCTCAAAAAATGAAACGAAAGCAAAAACTTTAATCAAATCTCTAGCTCTAGCCACAGGGGATAGAGAAACAAATTAAATGGCACCAAGAAAATAATCAGTCAAATCCAGAATCTAGGGTATGCCACTAGATAACTTGCTTTCTTCACAAATAAATGACATGACAGAAACAAGGAAAAGGAAGAACTGTTAGAGATTAAAAACAGAAACATATCAACCAAATGCAGTGTGTATGCACCTTGTTGGAATCTTGATTCTAAATGTAGATGGATATTTTTGAAGATCTGAGGAATTTTTTGGATGGACTGAGTTAAAATTTTCTTAATTTTTTTTTTAGGTGTGATGATGGCATTGTGGTTATGTAAATTAAGTATTCTCAAATGAAATAATAAATTGTCTGGGATTTGCTCCAGCCACCTCATTCTAGACAAAAAGTTGAGCGAAGGAAGAATAGATTCAATAAGTTGGCAAATTTGGGGTTTTGTTGAAGTTTGGTGATGGGTACATGAAAAGTAGTCATTAGTTCACTCCCCATTTTGTGCATGTTTTAACATTTTTGGAATAAAACACTTTTAGAAACTCTTTTGCTTAAGGACCGTCTGAATGTCTATAAAAGAGTCTCGCTCAGAATGTATACAGTGTTGTCTTACAATAAGGAACAATTCTAACAAGTTTGGTTTAAGTATCAGTTTTATGGGAGAAAATAGAATGATGCTAAAGGCAGTACGTATCCTTATAGAAATAAAAGGGTTTAACTGGTGTCATGAGGTAACACTGAAAATTCTTTACATGTAGACAAAAGCTATAAAAGCAGTAGGGGGCATTTGGTGATGTTAAATAGACCCACTCTGCCTGTTTTCCTGCCATTGGGCATTCCCTAAAAGGTGCATCCATCTCAGAGCCCAGAACGTGGGTAAGACTGATGGGCAAGGCTTCTTGGTGACCCCTCCTTGCTTTCCCCTGCTCAGATGCGGAAGTGTCAGTCACCCAAGGCTGTTTCCTAAGAGACTGCTTTTGTTTAAAGGATTGGTGAAACGTATTTTCTATGGTCTAACACCATATTCCATTATGTATTGTGGTTTTTTATTGTTTTCCTTATCATGATTTATTATTTTTTTCTATTTTTCTTTGAAGTTTGCCCATGTTAATCCATGTTCATTTTTCGCTCTGTATGTGTTTGTGTTGTGCTTGGTGTCTTTGCGTCCGTTGTTCCTAGGTTACAGTATAGCCAGGATATACGCAGTCACTTGGCCGATGAGCATGCGCTGATAGCCTCCTATGTGGCCCGTCTGCAACACTGTGCACGGTCAGTGGTAGAGCAGCGACAGCAGGCCGGTCGCCAGGGGCTGATCAGAGGGAGGGAGAGCTGTGTTACCTGGGCTTGCCAGCTGGAAAAAGCTCTGCATGTGGGGTTTTTCTTGAGAAGCTACCAGCTATGTTTGGCAGAGTTTAAATAATTGCTAAAGCATTAACTTCTAAAAGAGAAGGAGCCTTGCCAAGCCTGGGCACTTACCTAAACATATCGTCAGAAATGCTGTTTTAAAGTGGAATTCATTTCCTTCAGCTTACACTTAAAGGCTCTGTAAATGGCAAACATACGCAGTCCCAAAGATGTACATTCACAGAGCTCTTTGATGCACCCTCTTACTGCTCATTCTTGTCTAAATAATGAAACCTTTCTACCGACATTCAGAGCATAGGGTTAATCAACCCACAGATATCTCACTTTGTCTAATCTTTGATACCATCACCCTGTAACATCTTTGCATGTTACAACTTCATCTCTTCCCCCCAAATCTGGTCATTGTTGATTATTTAAACCACTGGTTTGCAATAGTGGTATTGGATCATTGTCACTTGAGGGAGACTTTACCCAAACAATATGTACGTCCACATGTGATAATTATACGTAATATAATAACTCCATATTCCCCTTTCTCTGAAAACTACTGGTAGTGACTCACTGTTAATGTGGGAATATGCCTGGTTCCTCAGTGGGTTAGGATAGAAAAACGTTTGATAACCACTAACTACAGCAAAGTTAACCCTTTAAAACAAAGTGCCATTGCATTCAGGTAGACCCAGAGCTACCTGTCCACTCTGTGTCCATACCCATTCTGCAAGGAGAATAGCAGGTAAAGTTTAAATAATCTAAAGCCATCCCTCCACTCTACATAGCAGCAGATTGATTCTTACTCTTAGAGAGGAAGCGTAATTTATTAACTAAGCACATAAGAGAGTCTGGAGCCTTACATTTTGATCTTAGTTTTGCCCAGAACATGCCGTGGCTCCGTGAGAAGGTGTTGACCTTGGTTTTATTTCCTGTGATAACAAGAATAAATAATGTGAAAAAATATATATTTGGAAAGGACTGTTTTCTATATTATACTTCATACCATTTCCCATAGTTTTGCCAGTGTGACTAAATAGCTTTGATATTTTTTGGCATTTATTTAATTCTAAAGTCTACTTTCCTACTTCCCAAGTATGTTTAATAGGCTTTTCCTATGGGAGGGAAGGAAAGGCCTGATAATTGGGCATCATATCAACCAAGAGTGCCTCTTCAGCCAACAGATGATTTCTGTGCAGTCTGTCCCAGCTCCTTGGGTCTCTAGGAATAGAGTTGTCTCATCCCTGGCAGGACAGCTTACTTATTATCAGTAAGGGCAGTTGTCCAGGTGATTAAAAGTTTCCATGGTGAAAATAGAAGCAGAGTGTTGGCAGAGGCTGCAACCTGATATTTCAGCCCCAGAAGATTTATGGGAGGTTTAGCTAAGGTCCTCAAGCGTCCTGGCTTAGGGATTAGGCTTCCTGAGCAAGAACTGGTGGCTGGGAGCCCTGGGAGAACATGAGGATTGGGTGAGTACTGCATTTCTTGATTTATAGTCTAAGGAACTGAGCTTCATGCTCCTCAAAGAAGTCAGAAATTTCCTGGCTAATTCTGAAAATGAAAGTCAGCTCAAGCAGAAAAATAAGGAACCTTTCTAATTTTCCTCTTAATTTTCATTGACCTTAAAACCTCTCATCAACATAAAGTTCTAGTTTCTGGTTGGAAAGCATAGCCAATTAAAGCAACCATGTCGTCCACACTTAGGTATAAATGACAAGTAGAATTAACCTTCCTAGGGAGATGGAACACGATGGAGGAGAGGGAGCTTTTTTGCACAGAGGAAAAAATTAAGTTTTTGTTATATCCCTTGCCAAAACAAAGGGCAGTAACTTTAAGTCCCATTTCTTAGGTTGCCAGTCCCTCTATAATATTATCCACTTGTATAATGTTCATTTTTGTTGTTTTTTTTAAAGATAAAGGTAGTTCTCTTATTTCCAGCAAACAACTTTAAGGCACAAATATTATAGTTCAGCCTTGACCTTGGGGCCTTGACCCTAATGTATTAAAGCCAATTGATGGTAGCATGTTCTTATTACAAAATCATCTCATGAGAGGATGATGATACAGACTGACATTTGCGTACCTAAAATTATAAAGTATTCAGAAGTGGCACAGGCAGAAGAAGTACATTAAAAAGAAAATCCATCCTAGAGGAAAGACCAAGTTAAGCTTAAAGACTTAGCCACAATGATAGAAATACAGAAAGGTGAAAAAAATCTAGGAAAAATACAGTTGATTCTATACATGAAAAGGTCAGATACATTTCTATCAATTTAACTTCACCCTTCCCAGATTCCCCCCCATCAGTAATTATTACAAGATTTGACGAGTATTGAACTCATGTCTTTAAATTTTTTCTTATTACTAATTGTGTTGCTAAATTCCATTCAGAGGTTTTTGGAACACCAAGAACCAAGGGCCGACGTAGAAGCAGGCCACAACAGCCATCTTGGGTCAGTTGTCATCACCACTGTTACCTTAAAGCATCTGCCAGACTTAAACAAACAGAATTCTATAGCCACAGTCCCTATTAATCTAGGAGTGCCCTGCTATGGATAAATGACAGTTGATGTAACATGCTAAACTAAAGGAGTCCATTATTTCATAATCCAGTCAAAAGGTCATTGCATCACATATACACAGAGCTAGGAACACTTCCTTCATCCAGGTGCAGCAGTATCTGATATCCCACATAAGTCTTAAAGACCTTAAAGTTAAGGTGCTGGTACTCTTGTGAAAGAGTAATGGACTAAATTAATTCACTCTAAGATGGGGCTGTAATTGTGGAACAAACATGGTGAAAGAAGAGAAAGACACATCGAAAGGGAATGTTTGATACCATGGATTCTTCTCCAGCTTTACCATATGTTGGACCTGCCCTTTCCTGGGCTCCTCAGTTTTCCTCAGTTGTTCAGCCAGTGTTAAGTGTACTTTTCTTTAGCCCTCTGTTTTTCATGATGCTTTAGTTTTCTCTTGATCTTTTAAAATTCAAGACCTATGTCTAAAAGTTATGAGTTTTTCCAAAACATTTGATTAGAAATCCCCCCTCAGACTTTGCAGATGCTCTGTCTTTTCTCGGACCTTGCATTCAAAAAGAAGTGCCCCTTCTTACAGCGTAGGAGCCAGGGGGATGCTGCTGAAAAGAAAGGGCATGTGTGGTCTCATCATTTCTCTATAAACCACCTTTCAGAAGACCATTATTATCTATGACCCAGGCCTCTTGTTTCTTTTGCTACCATACTTTTTTATAAGCTTTCTCCCATCTGTTCTTTCTAAGAGAAAAGCAAGGGTAGGGAATGTTTAATAGACACCTGTTGAATTTTTTGTCTCTTTGGCAGTGTCCTGGATAGTCCAAGCCGACTGGATGAGGAACACCGACTTATAGCTCGCTATGCTGCCCGGCTGGCTGCAGAAGCAGGAAACATGGTGAGTAAACGAAAGGTCCTAGTAGAGTAGCGGAAATTAGCATTATTTTAATATACAAATTGTAGGTGATAGTAAACATGAAACTTAGAAGAATAGGTACCTCAGGAACAGAAGGAGAGGAGTGGGTTGTTTAGGGAAGGGATTATAGTGGCCTTTAATTTTATCTACAGTATCCTCTATAAAAAATGAATCAAGAAAATCAAAGAGGGGCGCGTGGGTGGCTCAGTTGTTAAGCGTCTGCCTTCGGCTCAGGTCATGATCCCAGGGTCCTGGGATCAAGCCCTGCATCGGGCTCCCTGCTCAGCGGGAAGCCTGCTTCTCCCTCTCCTACTCCACTTGCTTGTGTTCCCTCTCTTGCTGTGTCTGTCTGTAAAATTAATTAATTAATTAATTAATTAATTAAAATCTTAAAAAAAAGAAGAAAATCAAAGAGCTAGAATTTGGTTCTTTAAAAAGCAATAAAATTAATTACCCCCTAGAAATCCTGATCAAGAAAAAAGGAAAGAAAATACAAATTACCAATATCACAAATGAAAGAAGGGACATTGCTACAGACCCTATAGTTATTATAAGGATGATAAGGGAATATTGTGAGCAACTTTTTGCCAATAAATTTGGCAACCTAGATGAAATAAGCAAATTCCTTGGAAGATACAAATTAGGGTTGTCTGGCTGGTTCAGTCAGTAGAGTATGCAGCTCTTGATCTTGAAGTTGTGGGTTCAAGCCACATGTAGGGTATAGAATCTTTTTTAAAAAAACGACACAAATTAACAAAACTGACTTAAGAAAAAATAGAAAATCTAAATAGTCCTAAATCTGTTAAGGAAATTGAATTTGTAATTAACTTCCCACAAAGAAAACTCTAAGCTCAGAGGGCTGAACTGTTGAATACTATCATATATTTAAGGAAGAAATAATAACAATCTGACATAAATTCTCAATACACAGAGGAAGAAGGTACACTTTCCAAGTCATTTTATCAGGCTACTCTAAACCTGATACAAAAAAAAAGCCATTACAAGAAAATAAAATCCATAATCAAATTCTCTCATGAATATGGATGAAAAAACCTTTAACAAAATATTACCAAATTGAATGTGGAAATATATAAAAAGGATAATACTCCATGATCAAGTGAGATTTATCCTAGGAGTACAGATTCATTTAATACATAAAAATCAGCCAACGTATTTCACCATATTAGCAGTTTAAAAAAGAAAATTATAAGATCATTTCAGTAGGTGCAGAAAAAATATTTGACAATAATGCCCATTTATGATAACATTTCTCAATATACCAGGAGTCAAAGAAGCTTCTTCAATCTGATAAAGAACACCTACAAAAAAACGTACAGCTAATATTATACCAAAAGGTTAAATTTTGGAGTATTTCCTACCTAATATTGAGAACAAGCAAAGGTGTCCACTTTTCACCACCTCTATTCAAAATTGTACTGGAGGCCTTAGCCAGTGAAGAAAAGGGCATAAATGTTGGAAAGGAAGAAGTAAAGCTGTCCTATTTGCAGACGACATGATTATGTAGAGACAGTCCTAAGGAATCTATAAAAACACTCCTAGAACAGATACATGACTATAGAGCAGTGTTGCAGGATACAAAGTCAGTGTACAAAAATTGATTATATTTCCATCTATAGCAGTGAGTAATTAGAAAACTAAATTTAGGAAAAACACCATTTACTATAAGATTAAAAAAACATCAAATACTTATGGATAAATTTAATGAAAGATGTTAAGACTGAAAACTATAAAATATTGCTGAGAAGAATTAAAGAAAACCTAAATAAGTGGAGAGGTTTGCCATGGAATATTCACATTCAATATAGTTAGGATGGCACATTTTTCCAAATTTATCTGTAGATTCAATACCAATCCAAATCCCAATAAACTTTGAAGAAACTGGCCAACTGATTTTAAAATATATTTGGAAACCAGAGGACTTAGAAAAACCAAGTCTTTAAAAAGAGCAAAGTTGAAGGACTTAACAACTCTACTTGACATCAAGACTTACAAAAAGCCACAGTAATCAAGAAAGTGTGATATTGGCAAAAGAATACACAAGTGGGACGCCTGGGTGGCTCAGTCGGTTAAGCGTCTGCCTTCGACTCAGGTCATGATCCCAGGGTTCTGGGATCCTTGCTCCTCAGCAAGGAGCCAGCTTCTCCCTCTGCCTGCCTCTGTCTCTCTCTCTCTCTGATAAATAAATAAAATCTTAAAAAAAAAAAAAAAAAGAATACACAAGTCATCCATACAGTAAGCTCACATGTATAAGGTCAAATGACTTTTTTTTTTTTTTTAACAAGGCACAAAAGAAATTCAGTTGGGAAAGGAAAATCTTTTTAACAAGTGCTTCTGGAAAAACTATATATTTATATGAAATAAAGAACCTCAACCTCTTCCTCATACTTTACGTAGGAACCAGTTTGAAATGTATCATAAATTTAAACATAAAAGCTAAAACCATAAAGCTACTAAAAGAAGGCTTAGAAAAATATCTTCATGTCTTTGGAGCAGGCAAAGAATTCTTAGAGGAATCATGAACCATTAAAAACTGATAAGTTGGACCTTATTGAAAATAAATTCTTTCCTCATTAAAGAATACTATTAAAAAGACAAAGCCCAACCTGAAAGAAAATATTTGCAACACGTGTCTGACAAAGGACAAACTATGTAACGAATTCCTGCACCTCAAATTCCTGCCCAAATTTTAAATGGTCTAAAGACTTGGACAGACACTTCACAGAAGAAGATATACAAATGGGCAATAAGCACATAAAAAGGTGCTTGATATCATTAATCATCAGGAAAATGCCAATTAAAACCATAATGACCCACTAGAATGACTACAGTGAAAAAGATTGACAACATCAATTGTTGGAGATGAGGTGGAGCACATGGAATTCTCATACACTGCATACCAAAAGTACATAAATTTGATTACGTGTACATGAAATTCTAGAATAGGTAAAATTGATTTATAGTGACGGAAATTGCACCAGGTACTGTTTCTGGGAATGGGGATATTGAAATAAAGGTAAGGAAACTTTCTGGATTGATAGAAACATTCTGCATTTTTATAGAGGTGTGTGTTACGAGAGTTGTATGTATTTGTCAAGACCGATTGGATGGCATACTTAGGATATGAGTATTATATCTCAGTTAAAAGAAAGAGGAACCAAGAATGGTGAATATGTAAGTTTGATTGCATTGAGAAATGGCTACCCAAGGATTTGCCATGGGTTTACTGCAATTTTGAAATAATTTATAATAAAATGTTCTCTTTTTTCTTTCATTTCAGCCCTTTACTTTCCTTGAAGAGTTATGTGCATATTAATATCCATTTTTCCTTCCCTCCCTCATGTATGTATTCATTTGGCAAATATTTATTTTGTTCCTATGATGTGCCAGATTGGATACTATGATGAACAAATGATTCCTGCCCTCATGGAACTAACAGTCTAGTGAGAGAGACAAACAGTAAACAAATACACTATTAAACTTAACTATAGGGGCGCCTGGTGGCTCAGTCGGTTAAGCATCTGACTCTTGGCTTCAGCTCAGGTCGTGATCTCGGGGTCCTGGGATCGAGCCCCGCATCAGGCTCCCCACTCAGCAGGGGAGTCTCTTTCCCTCTCTCTCCCTCTGTCCCTCCTCCCACTCATGCTCTCTCTCTTTCTGAAATAAATAAAATCTTAAAAAAAATAAACAATTACAAATAATTAGGTGCACTGGAGGAAAAATGGAAGGAACTATGAAAATGGATAGCAGGTCCCTGACATACACTGTATGGCCTCTGTGAGAAAGTGTTACTTGTGTTGAGATCTGAAGATAAAAGAATTCATTTTCCTGAGAACTAAAAAGGACTGAAACCCAAAGCAGCCCCTGGGCCACTGTTGCTGCCCCTCCTGCCCTATGCTTAGGTTTTAACTGTCTTGAGGTGCAGTGGGCAAAACCTTGTATGTATGCAAAGTGGAGAGTTGGAAATGAGGCTTTCACATTAAGCTAGGCCCCTGAAAGCATTATAACCCGGTGAAGGTACAGTGTAGAAGACCATCCGCCAACACAAAGATAGAACAAGAAAGCTTTAGGTTCTCCTCCTGTTGGAGTGGAAGAGGTCTCCCCTGGGGATTCACAACCTTAGTCCTGTCTGTACTTGTGTTGGGTCCATTTACATTACTTCATAGATTGAGAAACACCAAAGTAAAATTTTAATATAAAATTAATCCTACGGCATTGAGGAGAAGCAAAATATAAATCCTCTCCTGAGGTTAACATTCTCAATTGAGGCCAAGCAGTGATTCCCACAGAAAGAGTCCAACTAAACATGAACTCCTGAGCATCTCTGTCAGTGACTTTAGATACTAGAATCATTGGCTATAGAATAACTATGTTTAAAATTTCTTCAGACCTGAGGGGCGCCTGGGTGGCTCAGTCATTAAGCTTCTGCCTTCGGCTCAGGTAATGATCCCAGGGTCCTGGAATCGAGCCCCACGGGGGGCTCTCTGCTCAGCGGGGAGCCTGCTTCTCCCTCTCTCACTGTGTCTCTCTCTGTCAAATAAATAAAATCTTTAAAAAAAATAAAATTTCTTCAGACCTGAAAGAAGGAATTAAAAACATGATAAAAGAAAAGACTATCTAAAGAGACTGGAGATGAAAACAATCCAAATAGAACATAAACATTTTAAAAACAAAAGTTGCTGAAATTTAAAACTCAGTGGATGGGTTAAATGTTAGGTCAGACACAGCTGCACAGAGAATTAGTCTGCTGGAAAATACATGTAAGAAGGTTCCCCAAATGGGGGCGCCTGGGTGGCTCAGATGGTTAAGCATCTGCCTTCAGCTCAGGTCATGATCCCAGGGTCCTAGGATTGAGCCCCACGTTGGGCTCCCTGCTCAGTGGAGAGCCTGCTTCTCCCTCTCCCTCTGCTGCTCTCCCTGCTTGTGTTTGCTCTCTCTTCCTCTCTCTCTGTCAAATAAATAAA